GAGATGCTGCACGAGCCCGCCATCATGACTCAAGCTGAGAGAGAGAGAGAGCTGCGAGACTCCTCTCTTCTTCTTCTTCTTCTCCACCTCCTCCTCCACTACTTCCTCCTCTCCTATCCATCATCATCCTTGTCATCTCCTCCTTCTCCTCCTCCTCCTCTTCTTCTTTCTTTTTCTTCTTCTTCTTCTTCTTCTTCTTCTTCTTCTTCTTCTTCTTCTTCGTCTTCTTCGTCTTCGTCTTCTTCTTCTTCTTCTTCTTCACCTCCTCCATGTCTTCTTTTTCTTCTCCTCTTCTCCTCCTCCTCCTCCTCCTCCTCCTCCTCCTCCTCCTCCTCCTCTTCTTCTTCCTCTTCTCTTCTCATCCTTTCCTCCAGTCCCCTCTGTTTTCTCTTTTTCTTTTCCCCGGGAGAGAAAAGTCGACCTTTCCCCGAGTCGACACGCAAAGTTGCGTCGCAAACCCCCCTGTCGTCACGCAAACCACTCTTCCTCTTCCTCTTCCTCTTGTTCTTCTCCTTCCCATCTTGTTCTTCTCCTCCTCCTCCTCTTGTTCTTTTTCTCATCTTCTACTTGTTCTTGTCCTCCTCCTCGTCTTCTTTTTCATCCTGCTCACCTCTTCTAATCTTTTCTTCTTCCAGTCCCATTCATTTTCTTTTTTTCGCCTGTTGACACAGACACCACCCCCACCCCCGTCATTTTTTAAACCCCTACCCTACCTCTGCCTCCTACTCTTCGTCTTCTTCTTCTTCTCGATCTCCTTTTCTCATCCACCTCATCTCGGTCTTCTTCATCCTCTCCTCTTCATTTCCTTCCTCCTCTTCTCCTGGCGTTGTCCTTCTTCCCCTTCTGGTAGCCATAGCCTTCTTCTTCTTCTTCTTCACCCCGCTGGTCGCCGTAGCCATAGTCCCTGTTTCTTTCTCCTTCTAGTTATTCTTTTTCTTCTTCATCTTCTTCTTCTTCTTCTTCTTCGTCGTCTTCTTTTTCTCCTTCTTCGTCGTCTTCTTTTTCTCCTTCTCCTTCTTCGTCTTCTTCTTTTTCTCCTTCTTCTTCTTCTTCTTACCCCCCACCCCCCTGGCTCCTGGCTCGTAGTCATAGCCCCCCCTCCCCTCCCCCAACCACCACTGGATAGAAGTTTGAGTTAAAAGTTTTCTTTGTGGATTCTGACTGCTCTCGGTGAGTGCAGTCCAACCTGCTTTAAATCACCAGTACCTTCCCCAGTGTTGGGAAAATACGAGATGCTGGCCAGTACCCGAAGTTTTCGGGGTTCGGACACAGGGGCGGCGATGTCCCAAAAATCGTATTTTTCTTTTGCCCGTGCACGAAAGAAAATTGAAAAAAAAAGGGTCTTTGTACTGCAATGATGTCGGGCAGGGTAGTCCAGGAGGCCGTGCTCAGTGTTGAATGCATCTTACAACAAAGACGGTCACATTCTGAACTTGTTGTTTTCTTTTTTTTATTTCTCTTTTGTTTGTTATGTACCCCCTGCCAACGAGGCAGGGCGGAATCCGTGATCTGCTCTAGCTGTGTTTCCTCATATGATTGTCAGGGTCATGTATCCAGCCGTTTTCAAGGCCGAATCCGTGTTTCCGTTTTTTTTTTCTTGTTTTCTTTTTCTGGAATCTGACAATCCGACTCTGTGATCTGCTCGAGCTGTGTTCCCTCAGAGGATTGTAACCCTGATCACACTGGCACTTACGGGAATGTATCTTGCCATTTTCACGGCCAAATCCCTGGTCCTGTCTTTTTTTT